TTTTGCATGCAAATTGTATTATATAAAAGCCTTTGTGGCCCCGAGGCTGTTGAAGAATGAGTATCATATGAAAGACAAATACAAATCTTTGGTGTAATACTAATAGAATACCTAAATTAGACCCAGGCAGCCTAGAAGTGAATGTAGCTTTTGAAGGTTCACAGGTAGGCACTAAAGAATATAGTCTATGCAGTGGGGAAATCAAGTTCATTTATCATGACCACCAAGAAGATATGAAGTGATGGTAACATGTTCTCTTCAAATCAATGGAACTTAAAAATGAGCAGCTCAGCATGATATAGCTCTGCTGCTAGTGGGGTCATTTTTGTGCACAGAGGAAGACATTCCTACCATCTCAGTGAAAAATGCTACCTTGCATGTGTTGACAAGTTCTCTGAAATTTCACCAAGATAAGCATTTTAAGAGTCTAAAAGAACCACGTTTAGAGCTGTTTTCAACCTATGTTAATTATGAGTGAGCAGGATGGGAGTAATTTTCTTTTTCGGTACAAAAGTAGAGCAAAATTTTATAATAGGTTGATATACTCAATTCACAGATCTTCCCTCAAAGTTTAACTTTAGTTAGAGTCTTTAAATATGAAGAAGCCATCACAATAAAAAATATAACACAGGATTACATATTTTGGCTTTTGAGGACCTCAGAAATATTTTGTTTCCATTCTTTTTTTTTGGTTAAAACTAAAATAAATGAAATTCCAAAATCACTCTTAAAATTAAGAGTCAAGAATCACTTAAATTCTTGTGAGGATACTAACATAACATGGGTTATTCCAATGCTATTCATTACTCTGGTGTTTGTCAGCTCCATAAAAGTTTATTAATGATAATAAGATTCAAATATCTGGTGTCCAGACAATGTTCACAGGCTACTTCTGCCCTTAAGTAGAAGAGCAGTGTTAGGTGTGGTCTGTCTTTATTCCCAAATTTGAACAATTCTTACACATTCAAACATGTGCGAGACTCAATAGGAACACTTTGCTGCTGCTGTGCTGAGGCCACTAATTTCCCTGAGATGGTCGTATCACTGAGGATTCCCAGTTCTGGTCGACAGTTTGCAAACAATGCGATAGTGTGAATAGAGGACTGTGTAAAATAGAAGGTTCTTTCAAAAAGATATATGGTGTGCTTTTGGAATAAAAAAAATATCAGTCTTCTTGGTTAAATGTTGGCAAATGTGTTTTCAACTTTAAAATGTCTGAAATTGGCTCTTTTCTTTCTTGATAGAAGCTGAGTCCAGTGATGTGTTCAACATCTGTGATCCGAGCTCTGTGTAACTTCAACAACTCTTCAACCCATGAGGATTCATGCTTCCCGTGCTGTGAGGGTGAGACATCAAGAAAAAAGTCACTGGAGAACAGTCAGTTCACTTTACTCTACAAGCTTTCATCTCCCCCATTTTAATCAGCTATGGCACTTTGGCTCTCAAATGACAGATACCGTAAGATCTGTTAGGCATAATCCTTGCTCTTGAGTAACTCACCATTTAATATATACCATGTATGTTTGCTTAATTAAATGTATCAAATTTGGGGAAAGGAAAGTATATCTGGAACAGATGCTCATTTATTGCATTGGTGCAAGAAACTTCAATTGTGTAGGGTTAAAAAGT